CCCCGCATAAATCCACCAACCGCCCACCCACCCCTTCTGCCTGTAGACTCACAAATAAAAATATTCTACAAGTACATGCACATCACATAATTTAATTCCTTCATGGGACCGTCGGGGAAAAAAAAGAAGTTCCACCTCAAAGACTGAACGCATTCGTCCCGCTACTCCCGTGGTGTCCCCCTCCTCCTCCTCCCAACACACACACAGAGAGAAAGAGAGAGGAAACAAAAAAAAAAAAAAAAAAGACACAAACTTTTCGTTGGATTATTCCTTCCCAAGTGAATAACCCTGCGACTCCCCACTCACGGTGGTGCAGCACCAAAAAGAAAGAAAACAACAATCATCAGGAATAGAAACAAAACAAAAACAAAATCAAAGAAAGTAATAATCATTAAAACAGTAATTTATGAACGGTACTAAAAAAAAAAAGAAAAAAAGAAAAAAAAAATGTTCTACATTCCACTGAAAAATAGTAATGACGAACAGACAGAAGGGCAATGAGAGTGAGACACACACACACAGACAGACAGACAGACAGACACATACACACAGGGAGAGAGAGGGAGAGAAAGAAAGAAAAAGACATGCCACTCTGCGCAAACATAAACACAAACATGTATAGGTGTAAATATATAAATAAATAAATAAATATAAATAAATAGATATATGGATATATAGATACATGCATACATCAATGTTTTAAATTATATACAACCACAAAAATGGAATAATAATCCAGAAACAAAAAGAAAAAAGGCATGTGAGTCATCTCACAACCCTTCGGCTCCCATCGCATACATATTTATTACATCACACACAGTCACACCAAACACACAAAAACACACAAGAAAAAGAAAAAAAAGAAAAAAAAGGACTACGAGGACTCTCCAGCTAACGATGATAAAAATCAACAAAAAGACTTCTTTGCTTCGTTCTTTCTCTCTTTCTCTTTCTCCCAATACATCCCTCCACCCACACACCCCACAGCCACCATTGCGCATGCATAAAAAACAATTAATAATAATAATAATAATAATAATAATAATAATAATAACTGGTAATAATAAATACATAACAAAGAGAAAGAAAAAGTGACAAGCATACATGTACAAATCCAGACATATATATATACAGACATATATATATATATATGTATGCATTTATTTATATTTATATAGTGTGGCGTATTTACATGCATGTCACATGCACGCGGAGGAGCCAGCGGGTCGCACTTTGAATGCGCACGGGGGGAAGTATCAGAGAAGATTGAAAGTCAAAGGCATCAGGAGACACACACATATAAAAAAAAAAAAAAAGGCATCAAAAAAAAAAAAATGAAAGAAGAAAAAGATATATATGTGCGTATTATTTTCCCCACCAAACATCCCCAGGGAAAAAGGGTGCTAAATTTTCAAAAATGAGTTCCTTCTTCTACGCACCCGCACACTACCCCGTTCCTTCAATCCCTCAACATTATCTGGTTCAAACGGTTCTTACAGACTCCCAATAGGCCTACCTGATCGCATGCTCCAATTCAAGTGTCTACATGAGAGTAAACAACACCGGTGGCAGGAGATAATCCGTCATTGAATTCACCGGAAGCACCGACTGCTGCTGGGACCCTAAATTCGAATTTTGTTGTTGGGTACCGCGATGGTGAAGTTGTTCGTAGAATGAATTAGAGGATTGAAACTGCGTCGCTGAAATTTGTGCTGTCGTACTGCTCATATATGGCGTCTGCTGCGAAGTGTACACGGAAGAAAACGGGTACCCCGCCTGCTGCGTCATAATCTGAGGACGCTGCTGCTGCTGCTGCTGCTGCTGCTGCTGCTGCTGCTGTTTCTGCGCCTGCTGTAGGTGTAAATGCGGCGGCTGCGCTGGTGACGGTGCTTGGGAAGAAAGCATGGATGGAGGTGACATGATAACCCCACCGGTTGCATGTGGAACACCCCGAGCGTCAAAGGGGAAACCAGTTGCCTGCCGAGTGTAACCGTGCATGGTGTTGGTTGAGCAATTAGCACTGGGCAAAAAACGTGGTTGAGTGCCGGTATGACTCGGACGCAGGTTAATAACATTGAGGTCCGCTGTTTGGTTGTAGGTAAAAGGTGCGGTCATCGTTGTTGCAGTTGTGTCTGTGGATGACAACGATGGTGGCATTGATGACTGCGTTGACGGCTTCAAATAAACGCGGTGAATAAAATGGCATATCCTTCCCCTCCCACATTTCTCACGCTCGTAGTGTTTGCATAATCGAAGCAGCCTGGTTGAACCATGCAACAGTGCTTCTTCACTCCCCCTTGTCTTATAGACATAATCAGAGGCTAATCGTAATCTGGCCGGGGCATCGCCGATGAATTGAGAGGAGGTCCCACTGAAGTTGCTTTGATTGATATGAAAGACGGATCCAGGTTCATGTCTTTCGTAAAGGGCTTCCGCCATGGAGTGAATGGGAGTCGACCAGTGCACTTGAATGGCTTTCACCGGCCCGCCACGATGGGGAGCATTCGTCAAGACATGACGACTGTGAATAAAATCACAGAAGGAGCCGTGGGCGCAGGTGGAATTGTTGGTGTACATCTTGCACAGGTAGAATGCAAAGGTGGGAGCCCCTTTGCCCTGGTTCTTCGCCAGGTATCGCCTCGACCCGGCCGTGGGCTCAATAAGTTCCGGTGGGATGGAGAGCGTCTCCGCCTTGTCCGCGCTAAGCACATTGAAGTAGTCCCCAGGCAGGCCACTCGTGTTTCGGCTCTCCGGTCGCCTACCGCCCTCCTTTTTGCCCTCCTGCAGCACCGCAGCGATCGTGGCGTTATTTCGGTTGGAGGTAGAAGAGTTCGACGAGGCCAACTTCTCCGCGTACATGTCAGCGTGCCCCTCAAACAAACTCACCGATGCCTCCATCAGCGTCTCCTCCTCTCACAGACGACCGCTGCTGCTCCCGCAGAAAGAAATAGACAAACACACACACACACACAGAGAGAGATACAAAATCTGAAAGAGAAGGGTACAGACAGTGTGTGTGTGTGCGTGTGTATGTGTGGGTTAGGGAACCAAGCCACAAAAAGAGGAAAAACCCAAAAAAAAAAAAAAAAAGAGACAGATATATAGCTATACAACGTTGTGTGGTATCTATCTATACAGATGTGGATAGATAAGGATAATTAAAAGTATGGGAGCTTGCCGGCTGGAGTAGCGGTAGGAAAAAAAAAAAAAAAAAAACAGTGAACTTATTTGCTTCACTGCCCCTTGCCTGTAAAGAAAAGAAGAGGAAACAAATTGTATACAAATAAGATCACTGTGAATCGTGTATGCCACACGCTCACGCCCTGTCGGCCTCTTTCCCGCGCTTCTACGTGTCTGTGTATTTGTGTCTGTTTCTTTGCGTGGGGTCGACCACGAAAGAAGTCGCACTGCGGGGCGGGTGAAAGGGGCGGAAAGAAAGAAAGAAAAAAAAAAAAAACTAAATTCCTTTTTTTTTTTTTCTTTTTTCTCTCTTCTTTTTCTGTCTTGTTGTTGTTCTTTTTGTTTCGCTCTTGATTGCTGGTCGGCCCAATCCTTTCCTTCCTAGTCCCTGCACACGCAGACACGTGCATACATGAAGGGAAGAGGGAGAAAAAAAAAAAAGAAAAAAGAAGGAATGTGAGCAATGAACACAACATCATGCACAGTGAACCGCAATGACTTCCTCCCCACCTTTTCTCCTCCAATAAAAAAAAATATTTTGTTTTTTTTTTGTTTTTCCTTCGGTTCTTCACTCATGCCTCAGTAATTCCTCTCCCTCTGACTGTCTGTGTGTTATCTCCTCCTTTCCTCGGCTCACTCTTTGCCCCCACTCAGTGCGTCCGCCTCGAAGGAAAAGTTTTATTGCACCAGAAAGAAAAAAAAAAAAAACCGTCGTTTTTGCGACGCTTCAATTGCCATTTAATCCAGCGTGCATGTATGTATACATATAACTGCACCCTCCTCCGTCGGCATCTATGTCGTCGCGCATAAACTCATGCTTGTTGGTTTCCGTTTCACCCCCCGCTTCTGCTCCTCCTCCCCCTCGCCGGTACAACCACCACCACAACAACAACAACAATAGTCTTCGGTTATTGACACTTCTCCTGCCAACGTGCTTTCGGTCATGGCCGCCACGCAAAAGTATTCGGGTCGCATACGCAAGACACGCCAACAGAGCGGGAAACAGTAACAATAAATTATATCTATAAATAATATGATATAATATATATCTATACATAAAGGTGGGGGAAAGAAAAAAACGACCATCAAGTAGTGAAAATGCACAAATAAAAATAATTTGAAACACGCACACACACAAATAGATATTATATTATATTATTTTATATACAAAAACAAAAACAAAAAAGGGTGGTGTGGAGGATTAACTTCACCGAGTCCACAGAATTGCTGTCTGCACCACCTCCACGCTGAATAAAGAAAAAATCCTATAAATTGGAAAAAATATAAAAATATTCATGTATGCATGTGCATACATAAATACATATGGGGAAAGAACACGGAAGGAAAAAAAAAAAAAAAAAAAAAGGATTTCTAGCACAAACTGCCTCCTGCTCCTCCCTCCGCAAGGGACAACACGAGAAATAGAGTATAAAACCCTCCTTTTCCCCCCCCCCTCTCCCCACACACAAACACAGATATTATTGGTTAAAAGTTGTACACAACGATGGCGCCAATGGATAAGGAATTTCCAACCAAAAATGTTGCGCTCGGACAAAACGCGTACAAATAAGAGGAGCATAAACCACTCAACGCAATGGAGATCACCGCTGCAAATGTCCTCACAATATTGTCGGAGTATTTGATCACCACCGCCACCAGAAGTCCGCCAATCGCCTGCACCACTAACATCACCCAAACTAACCCGTCAAAGCCACGAAAGTAATTGCGAACGGCGTCAATAAAAGACGCATTACTGGACTCCGTGAAGCCGCCCAGAGAACCGTTCAGTGCCTGAAACACGGCAAAGCATAAGACCGAGTGAAGGGCGAGGTGCAAATTTTTAGTGGAGGTAAACAAACTCATCGAACTAGACCGGGACTTTAAAAAGGACTCCATAATAACAGATGCGGCACTGGATGTTGTCGCAGAGAGTATCGTGGCAACGATGCCAACGGTGTAATCCCCCTTAAAACTCCCCTCTGGCGACCGCTCCGCCCCTGAGGCGGTCCTGTCCCCAAGCTGCGCCACAGAGACGCCGAGTGCCAACACGACAAGAGCCACCCACTGCCGAAATAAAAAACAACGCCCGAGGAAAACTGACATGAAGACCGCCGTGATGATTATTCTTGACTGGTACGTCACCTGAAAGAGCGTCGGCTCAATGTTGGCAAGGGCCAAATAAACGCAGCAGTTCTGGAACCCGTAGAGCAGAGCTGGCAGCAGCATGCGGAAGGCACTTGGGTGAAACAACTCGGAGACAATTCCATTCTTAAACAAACGCCACCGTCCCGGAGTCTTTGATGCAGGGAATTGAAACGATGCGTCCAGCAAATTGTCTTTACAGTTTATTTCCTCACTGTTGCTTAAATAAGAGGATCTGAGTACATCGCTGTCAGTGTTGACTTTTATCGGCAGCGGCTGCATTTCGTCAAGCCTATCCAAAATCAGTTCCTTTTCATTCCTTTCAATCGCGTGTTCTCGGACGTAGCGCCACACGTCAATGACGCACCAGGCAAAGGACACAATAAACTTTATTGCCTCCTGAATCAACACTGCGTGCATCACGGCAAACCGCTCAGCGCCAGCAGCCAACTGGCGTTCCTGAGTGTAACTAATGAGCAGCACCGCCATCGCATTCTGGAACGTCAGAAACCAAAAAAAAAAGAACTGTTTTGAACAGCACGACACAACCCGCTTACAAAACCCAAAGAGGTAAATCCGCATATCAACCCCTCCACCACCAACTCTTCCTTCCCACAATCTGTCTCAGGAGCGAAAAAGATATGTGTATTTATAATATTACTTCCGCGTGTGTGCCTCCCTGCTCCGTCCCCAATTATCTCAGAGGATTTCGTCGCCCTTACGTGGAGACGGTGTCTCAAACGCAAAAACCTTCTCCAAAAGAGATGTACCCCCTCCTCTTCGCCGTTACCTGCAGGGAGAGAAGACTCACTCAAGAATATTTTCACTAATACGACTTGCCGTCGTCGTGGTTTATGGCAGGGTGAAGAAACCACACCGCGGCAATATTTTATCACTGCAGACCCAAACGGACACTATTTCACGCCACAAATATATTTAAGAAAAGGAAAAAAAGGGGAAAAAAGACAATACAAGAAGAGAGAAGGAAAAAAGCGCAGCGAGTGCCCGTCGCCTCAGTCGAGAGCACATCCAACCTCGATCCAAACGCAAAAATACACACACGGGCGAAAAAAAAAAGAAAAAAAAAAAGAAACATATATGCACGCAGGTCAACTAAAAACCAAAGGCCCGCCTTTCCTCGTCCACATCAATGGCATTGTGTCGTCGCTTGACCTTGAAGGGAATGTCCAGTGTATCGCAAAACAGACTTATTTTACGCACTGCAAAACGACTCATAATAACAATGGACACGCCACGGCCTCCAAACCTTCCCACACGTCCGCACCAATGTGCGTAATCCAGGGCAGATTGCGGGGTTGCCAAAATCATGACATGAGTGAGGTCGCCGATATCAATACCGCGCACACAAGAGGAGGCGCAAAGAATAAACTGTCGAATAGATATTGACTCTGCAGGAGATAAGTGGGAGTTGTAAGTTGTAAGTGAATTCGCATGTGTTCCGCCTTCTTTCCCCTCCCGCTGTTTACAAGACCCCTGCTGGGTGCCAATCTGCTCAACCTTGAATCGCTCATCGGGCTGGGCAGGCCTCAAAACCCGTTGGACGAAGAGGTCAACATTTCCGGAGTCCGGCAAAATCACCAGGATCTTCATCTCCCCTGTCGGTTCCGCGTTGCCCTCCATACCGTGCCCGGATTCATTTATGGCGGCCGCCAAGCACTCCCGCTGCTCCTCAAGGGTATCTGCGGTGTAGAAAAGATGTTGAATCCCATCAGGGACAATCGCCTTTGAGAGATTCCCTGTCGCATTTGCCTTCTGAGAAAAGCTTTCAATCTCGCTCTCAAAAATGCGAGACGTTTTGGACTCAAGAACGCTCTTCTTTAAAAATCGCCGCACGTGGTTGACGGTAGACCCTGCAAGAGTCGCGCTCGTAAACACCAGCTGCACCGGCGCCTGGTACTTGACAAAGCGGTAGAGCTCCTTCATCAGCAGATTCCCCGCCGCGTCAGGGCGGGTTGACGGAAGCACTTCGTCCACCTCGTCCACCACCACAAGATCAATGCTCGGCAACACCGGAGTGAGGGCGAAGGAGTGTTTCTTGCGTCCCAACGTCGCCTCACGGCAAAGAATGGACTGCTTTCGTCGCTGAAAAAACTCCCAGAAAACCTCCGGTGTCGCAACGCACACGTACGGCCGCCGGTCCGCCGACCCCACAATTTTGCCTGCCGCGTCGCGGATGAGTTCCCGCGTGAGACGCTGGTACACCACATTGGGGGACAAATCGCTGGTGGCAGAAAACACTAAACGTTCATCGGACTCATACCACCACATCTCGCGCATCCACTGCGCAATCTGACGGCACAGGTGATCATTCTGCGCAAGGAAAAGAACAGAGAAAAGTTTCATCGGCCCATCCCGCATCAGACGAGCAATAAGAGCCAAACAAAGAGCAAATGTCTTTCCAGTTCCCGTTGGGGCACAGAGCGCCACATCCTGTTGAGCATAAAAATGTTGAAGAGCACGTGCCTGAACCATCGTCAATCCCTGAAACCCACCTGCATCGTCATCTCTTTTCATAGAGGCATCACTCGGAGACTTCTCATGCGAGAAGCGTCGAT